TAGAGATTAAAATCAGATTTTTATTGAATTTTGATAAAACTTGATGAAATGCATGATTGAAAAGTTATTATTCCCATTAATAACATGTTTGTTTCTGATTAAAATCCAATTAAAATTGAAAATATGGTAGTTATTGGGTCGCACCCGTCTAATAAAAGTCAACAACAACGGCTAGTTTTTCAATTTTAATCCGATTTTAATATCTACCGAACACGCCCTAAGTATGAAGTTAAAATTAATTATTACAAAAAATTAAAGACCGTCTTAATCCATTTTGAAATTTGTGACCAATTTGTTACTATTATAACTTCGTAAGTAAACTAAGTAGTCAAACTCAAAGAGTCCTTTATATTTTGAGTTAATTTGCATGATTTATGTTTAGAAGTTAAAGTCTAGTTGTCACTCATTTCGATAAAAAAGGTATTTGGTGGAGATTAAAATTAAATTTTTAGTGAATTGTGATAGAAGTTTTTAAAATGTGTGGTTGAAAAGATGTGGGACCCATGAAAGATGTGGTTAATATTAATTGTTTGACTTTAACTTGAATTAAACTCAGATTTTAATCCGACTCAAACAGGTCCAAAATTGTACACATGTTAAGCTTTTTTTTTTTTTTTTTTTGGCTTTTTATAATATTTCTAAAATCAAAATTTGAAGCTTCTATGCCAAACTCAGTAATGCAGGAAAAGGGACTTACACATAGTAGGTATTTAATAAAACCTGTAATAAAATTGTGTAGTATGTCAAATTGTTGTTACTGAAACGAAGTATCATATCATCATCTCTCATGCATTACTATCAACGCTACTCAAACACTAACATATATCGGCTATCTTCGTTAATTTTTGAAAATTTCATACTTTTTAATCACACATTCTCCTAAAAATCACTATTCAAAACATTGTTTATGAACAATAATGACCATCAAATAAGGACTTAAATTCTCAACACCTCACATCTTATTATATAGAAGAATAATGCTATATAGCTCTAATGGTGTTAGAGCATCAATTTAGATATCATGCAAGTGATTGGACATCTTAAATGTAATTTCTTTTCTTACTTTTAAGGTGATCTATCAATTAATGACACATGCACGATACATAGGTTGGTACTTAGCATCAGTTATATTAAATAGAATTATTGTATATAGGAAGACGTGAATGTCTAATGTCTAGAGGTAAGCATGAACTGAAAGTTGAATGAAAATTTAGCCCTCGTTTAGTAGAAATTAGGGGTGTCCAAAAGTCCCGAACCGGACCGAACCGAACCCGAACCGAACCGAACCGAGCGGTTCTTCATAAATTAAATACCCGAACGGGTACCCGAATCGAGAACCGATGGGTTTGGGTCGGGTCTCGGGTCTAGACAAAGAACC